CCCACAGCTGCCTCAACCCCGTGCTCTTCTTGTATTTCGGGCGGGCGCAGCTCTGCCGATCACTGCCAGCCGCGTGTCGCTGGGCCCTGCAGGGCCCCGAGAGCGAGGATGAGAGCGCGGTCAGCAAGAAATCCACCAGCCACGACCTGGTCTCGGAGATGGAGGTCTAGGCCGGAGGGGAAACCGGCGTGTCTCCTCCGATCCCAATTCACGGAACTGGCTTCAGGCGTAGGGAGATTCAGGGGTTCAGTGCTATCGTCATGTATCCCTTTATTCACTCAACAAATGTTTCTTTTTTTTTAACATATATTTTTTATTGATTTCAGAGAGGAAGGGAGAGGGAGAGGGAGATAGAAACATCAATGATGAGAGAGAATCACTGATCGGCTGCCTCCACCGTCCCCCACTAGGGATCAAGCTTGCAACCCGGGTGTGTGCCCTTGACCGGAATTGAACTCAAGACCCTTCAGCCCTTAGGCCAATGTTCTATCCACTGAGCCAAACCAGCCAGGGCTCAACACATGTTTCTTATGCAGCCGCTATGTGCAATGAGTGCCCTAGTATAGGCCCTGGGATGTAGCAGTGGCCCAAACAGACACAGGTCCCTGCCCTTGGGGAGCTGACTGTCTTGGGGAGGAATACCGGCAATAAGCAAAGAAATAAAGAACTATGCAATGTGTCCTTCGGGTGAGGTGATATTTGAACCAAGATCTGAAGAAACTCGTTTCTTATGCAGCCGCTATGTGCAATGAGTGCCCTAGTATAGGCCCTGGGATGTAGCAGTGGCCCAAACAGACACAGGTCCCTGCCCTTGGGGAGCTGACTGTCTTGGGGAGGAATACCGGCAATAAGCAAAGAAATAAAGAACTATGCAATGTGTCCTTCGGGTGAGGTGATATTTGAACCAAGATCTGAAGAAGGGAGGGGAGAGGCATGCTTACACCTGGAGTAAAGCATTTCAAGCGGAGGGAACAGCAGGTGCAAAGGCCCTGGGGTCGAGTGTGCTTGGCACATTCCAAGAACAGTGAAGAGGCCAGTGTGGGAGAGCAGAGTGAGCGAGAGGGAGAGTGTGGTGAGAGGCGAGAGAGAGGTGCAAGGGTCCGGGGGGTGGGGGGGCGGACTTGGAAAGGCTTCTAGGCCATAGCAACTGTTTGGGGATCCCCGGGTAAGGTTCTGAGCTACAGTGACCAGGTAAAATACCAAACACCCAATTACATTTGAATTTCAGATCAACCACCACAACATTTTTTAGCATGAGGTATGGCCCATGCAAAAAATTTTAAAAAATATGTTTTTGTTTATATTAAGAAAGAGAGGAGGGGAGAGGGAGAGAGAGAGAGAAAAAAAAACATCGATGAGAGATGAACATCATCAATCAGCTGCCTCTTGCACGCACCCCCACCTGGGTTTGAGCCTACAACCCAGACCTGGGCCCTGATTGGGAATCGAACCGGCGACCTTTTGGTTCCTGGGTCCGAGGCTCCATCCCTTCTGGCCTATGCAGTATCTGACATACTTATACTTAAAAACATTACTTGTTGTGGATCGGAAATTCAAATTTAACTGAGCAGTCTGTAATGTTTCTAAATCAGGCAACCCTATTCTGAGCAAAGGAGTGTCTGGATTTGACTCAGATTTTAATAGGATCCCTCGGTTGCTGGTGGAGACTGGACTATGGGGGAAGGGAGAGGGGAGGGAGGAGCTACTGCAAAGGCTGATGGTGCGAGAGGTGAGGGTGACTTCGATCAGGGTCACAGCAGCACAGGTGGTGAGAGGGTGACAGGTTATGGATCTATTTTGAAGGAAAGGCTGTGTCCAAACTCTGTAACTTGGTATTCGAGACCTCTGTCCACCACTGAACACACTTATATTCTTGGTGCGCAGACCCTGTAGCAAACAGAATGATGGCCTCCAAAGATCTCCACATCCTAATCCCCTGAACTTGTTGTGAATAGGGGGCCTCGCATGACAAAAGGAACGTTGCAGATTTGATTGCGTGAAGGAGCCTGAGATGGGGAGACGATCCTGGATCATCCAGGTGAACCCACCGTCATCTCGTGTCCTTCTAAGAGGGAGGCAGAAGGGTCAGTGTCAGTAGCAGGAGATGTGACAATGGAAGTAGATGTCAGAGGGATGTGAGGAGGGGTCCACAAGCCAAGGAGTGCAGGCAGCCCCCAGAAGCTGAGAAAGGCAGGGAAATGGATTCCCTCCCAAGCCCCCAGAAGGAACACAGACTCGCCAGTGCCTTGATTTCAGACTTCTGACCTCCAAAATTCTAATTGAATAAATGTGTGCTGTTTTAAGTCGCTGTGCTTGTGGTAACTTGTTACAGCAGCCACAGGAAACTAATACAGATCCTCTGGGTTGTATTATTTTCCCACCTCTGGGTCTTTTCTCCAGCTGGTGCCGCTGCCTGGAAAGCCCCTTGGGTCTCTGCTGACCAATCTGGTAACCACGAGCTATCTATGGCTAGTCAAATTCAAATAATTAAAATTAAAAATTTAGTTCGCGGTTGCATTAGCCACAGTTCAAGTGCTCAGTAGCTACGTGTGGCTGGTGGCGACCAATTTGGGGAGAGCAGATACAGAATATTTCCCTCGTCATAGGAAGTTCTTTATATGTCCTTCCATTCTAGAATCTCACCTGTTCAGATCTTTTATTTTTTTTAAAGATTTTTTAAATTGATTTTTAGAGGAAGAGAGAGAAAGAGAGAGAAAGAGAGAGAGAGAGAGAGTGAGAGAGAGAAACATCGATGTGAGAGTGAAATATCAATCAGCTGCCTCCTGCACACCCCCTCCTAGGAAGCGAGCCCACAACCTGGCATGTGCCCTGACTGGGAATCGAACCAGCAACCTTTTGGGACATGGGATGACACCCAACCAACTGAGCCACACCGGTCAGGGTTGTCCAGATCTTTTAAACCGCACAGTAGTGGCGTCTGCGTGTAGAGCCATTGCTCCAGGACCGCACTTTACCCACAGCTTTCCTGTCAGGTAATTCTCACAACAACCAAGGAAGGTGGGGGGAGATGCTGCATTTTATAAAGATCTTTTAAACCACACAGTAGTGGCGTCTGCGTGTAGAGCCATTGCTCCAGGACCGCACTTTACCCACAGCTTTCCTGTCAGGTAATTCTCACAACAACCAAGGAAGGTGGGGGGAGATGCTGCATTTTATAAGCTGAGGCCCAGGGAGGGGAGGTCATTTGCCCAAGGTCACCCAGCAAGGAAATGACAGAGCTGAGGTCTGATCCCATGTTTACTTGACGCCAGTGCCCATGCTCTTCTTCGTCAGCGACATTTCCCTTCAACACCTTGTTCACATGACACTTTCCCCAGCGAGCCCTCCCTGACTCACCCTCCTCCCAGCGAGGAAGGAGTGCTCTTCTCTCTTCCAAGTTTCCGGAACACAAGTTCCCAGCTGAACTGTAAATTCCCCAAGGGTGACATCTGGGCCACTTAAATCTCCCTCTCTCTCTTTTTTAAAAATAGATTTTATTGATTTTTTAGAGAGGAAGGGAGAGGGATAGAGAGTTAGAAACATCGATGAGAGAGAAACATCGATCAGCTGCCTCCTGCACACCTCCCACTGGGGATGTGCCTGCAACCAAGATGTGCCCTTGACTGGAAACCTGGGATCCTTCAGTCCACAGGCCGATGCTCTATCCACTGAGCCAACCTGGTTAGGGCTAATCTCTTTTTTAAAAAATAGTTTTTTATTTTTTAATTGCAGTTGGCATACATTACTATATTAGTTTCAGGTGTACACCCCAGTGAGACATTATATAACTTACTAAGTAATCATCCTAATATATCTTGTGCCCATATGACACCATACCTAGTTGTTAGAATATAATTGACTATATGCCCTATGGCAGCCGTGGGCAAACTACAGCCCGCGGGCCGGATCCGGCCCGTTTGAAATGAATAAAACTAAAAAAAAAAAAGACTGTACCCTTTTATGTAATGATGTTTACTTTGAATTTATATTAGTTCACACAAACACTCCATCCATGCTTTTGTTCCAGCCCTCTGGTCCAGTTTAAGAACCCATAAAGTTTGCCCACCCCTCCCCTATGGTGTACTTTACATCCCCATGACTATTCTGTAACTGTCAATTTGTACTTCCTTTTTAAAATATTTTTTATTGTTTAAAGTATTACATGTCTCCTTTCACCCCTCAATTTATACTTCTTAATCCCTTCACCTTTTCCACCTATCTTCCCAACCCCCCTCCTATCTGATAACCATCAAAATGTTTTCTGTACCTGTGAATGTTTCTGTTCTACTTGTTTGTTTATTTTG